TGGTAAACATGATCTGGTGAACATGGTGAACAATGTTTTTGCAGCCTCTGGTTTTATAGAACCACAGAATCGTAGCGGTCGAAAAAGACCTTGAAGATCATCAAGTCCAACCATAAACCCAACACTGCCAATTCCATCTCTAACCCATGTCCCTCAGCACTTCGTCTACCCATCTGTTAAATCCCACCAGGGAAGGTGACTCCACCACCTCCCTGGGCAGCCTGTTCCAATGCCTGACTGCCCTTTGGGTGAAGAAGTGTTTCCTCAGATCCAATCTAAACCTCCCCTGGTGCAATGTGAGGCAATTTCCTCTTGTTCTATCCCTTGTTACCTGGGAGAAGAGATGAACTCCCACTTCTTTATTTATCCCAATATTATTTTGAAATAACAGAGAAGGTTTTTATTGGATCTTTGCTTTGGGTTTCATGCTGGAGTGAACCTCTTCTCCAGTGTGTTGCCATCACCGACCGTTCCCAGCTCTGGAATTCGTGCTGGAATTGTGCATTAGGAGCGGTGAACAAAAGGCATTGAAAACTTTGACTTTGACAAATGGATGGCTTTTTAATTCTATGTGCTACCAAACAAGAGTTTAAAATTTCTACTGTGAATGAATATCAATAATATAGACAACTTGGTAAAATTTTAACAGCCCCATTACCGTGATGAAGGCACCGAAGGATCTGCTGGCTGCCTACCCTGCTGATGAATAACTGATAATAAGGGGCAAAAAAAAACCCCTCACAAAAAGCTGAAAAGCCTTTCATGGCAACAGGAGAGGAAAACTTATCACCTGATGTGAATGGTCTGACCTGTTAGAGTGGAGGGGAGGAAAAGCTGGGGAATGCAGAGGAGCTGGAAGAAAACCTGAGGATTGATTTCTTGTCCAAGGGTTTATCAGAGCACGTTGACACCTCTTAGCATCCTCTGCTCAGCCTGACAGGTATTCCTGTGTTAGTTGCTGCTGTTCATCCTCAGAGGCTGTTAAATAATTTGCACCCTCAGGTTTGTTAGTAGATAAGATTGATTTTAAAGAAAAATAGTACACCTGAAAATATTTCTCTCTCCGGTGAGGTTCCAGAGGGTTACATCAGTGGAACAAAATGTGCATCTGATTTTCCTGAGATGCAGCTAATCCATTTTGCAATAGGAAGCAGGTATAAAATTCCTCCTTTGAAAGCCCACTGGCAGCAGCAGGTGTAGGAGATGGCAGGATCAAAGAATCACAGAGTCACAGCATGGTGGGGCTGGAAGGGACCTCAGGAGATCATCCAGTCCAACCCCCCTGCCAAAGCAGGTTCCCTACA